AAGGGAATGCATGGATCGGACCTAGACCATCCAATGTTATTATCGAATTATTGTAAAGTGGCCGAGCAGGTAGGCAAAAGTTATATTTAAATTGTGTGCGACTTCAAATCTTAATATTACATTTTTTTTTTTTACCTTTTCCTTTCCATAACAGTCAAATGTTTTTTTTTTTATAGTGAATAAAATTATATATACACGGCGGTTCGAATAGGCAATTTAAGTACATTTACGTCTTGAAATAATATTCGTTCAACCACTACGTCTTTCAACTAGGTATAACGTTATAATATTTATAGTTAATAATAGTTTATTCACTAAATAATAAATCACATTTTTCTATTATAATGTATGGTAATAGAAAATGTACCAATGGAAAACTTAAAAAAAATCTGATGATTCTAAATTTGAAAAAATACGACAAAGGTCAGACATGTTTTCTTCTACATATTTGACACTGTTGAATTATATATAAGAGTCGGTAAAACAGTTCGATGATGAAGAGGTATATAAAAAAAAATGTAAGTCCAGAGTAAAAAAAAAATAAAAATCAACCCCTCTAGAAAGAGCTCCGTCCGGAAAGCTAGTACCCACCACAAAAGTGGTCACGTTATTTATACACCGGGTGGCCAATGAATATTCATGCTATATATTATACCTACTATTCAACCGACTAAGGCTCGTGAATACCATCATCATCATAATATTATATAATACTATGATGTATATAAATATTTTTATTCGTAAAATAAAACCGTACACAAACTCGACCAGAAGAGGTAAAACAATGTTTAACATGTGTTGCTTATCGTTAATCCTTAAAGGGATGTTTCGACATACCTAATCAGACTTAATTCCTTTTTTAAAATCCTACCAGTTTCCTTGCAGAGGGTGCAGTGTCCCAACTAGGAATTATATAGATTTCATATAGGTATTACATCACGCTCGTGTTATAGTAATCCTGAGACTGATTTATGTCACATGTAACATTTTGTCGTTCAACCTTTTTCGTATGTATTTTACAAGTGTGATTATGTTGAAAACGTTAATATATTATATTGTCCTATTGTGGAAAATATTGATGGTCTGCTAACTTGAAATTTAATTCTGAATTTTCTATTAGATATTTAGTAGTATAATATATGTATTATTATTATTAATAAATTGTAAAGAAGTTCTATTCAAAATATTTTACAGGTAGATCTAACTACCACTACGTTGATTTTTACAATATTATGTTAACAATAAAATAATTGAGATTTAAATTCACAAATTGCATTTATTTAAAGGTAATAATATAAATTTAAATATTTAACACGTTACTATATTGTTTTTTTTTTTGTGTCAATAATAGTTTTATTCAAATTACCAACAATACTTTACATACGAATTAAATCTTAAAGTACGTAGGTATGTAGTACTTTTTAAACTTGTGTGTTGCAAATCAACTAATATTCTATTTATTTAACTAGGTGTTGATTTTGTTTGAAAAAAGTCCTATAAGAATATTTTAATGGATTTTGCTGTCGATTCAGAAAAGAAAAATAACTTCAATTCCTTCTCCAGAAAACTATAAAATTCATATTACGTTAAAAATGTAATAAGAAGTATATCAACCTGTATTTTCAATACAATAAATCCCGTTAATAATTAGAAATAGAAACCATTTAAATAGATCTAATAGATATTATTAGATACCTAGGTATATTATAGGTATATTTATGAAATAATTCATATTCAATTCGTATATCATTTTGAGATATATAATGGTATTGACCAGCTGGTAAGTTTTGGATTACGGCTAAGTTCTAAAGATTGCCTTAGTTATTTTAATTGAAATTAAGAATATCACTTATTTATAAAATAACTATGTTTTAAATTTTAAATAATTAGTTTAGAAAAATAACCCTTTAAAGTCTATTTTTGAATATTAAGAGAGACATTTTTAAAGAAAACATCCTTTGGTATTATACATTTTGACTAATCAATAAAGTGTATATTATTCTTGAAAAGGGCTGATTAATTTATCACATCATTATATATATTATCTCTTTAAAATATAGAGTAAATAATAATATAATATATTATATATTATATAAATATTAGTTTTTTGAAAAATATATTTTATCCTAACTTGTGTTAATAAAATAAAGTGTATTTATACATTTTACACTTTCATACAACGTCCTCATCCTATATAGTATATATACTATATGATAATAGGATTCTTTTCCTTAAAAAGTTGTATGATTTTTTCAAATACAATTCGACCATAGAAGTTGATAGTTATGCGGTAATAATATTAATAAACCTAATTTTAAATTTAAAAAATAAAATATCATAAAAGAATGTTAATGCTTGTTAAATTGTTTAACGTAGGTATAATGTATGTTATATATAGCTGGTACCTACAAAAATACAGTATAATATTTTGGAACTTAGGAAATTTAAAAAAACAACTTTTAAAAACATGAAAATTAATTCTACATGATATATTATAATATTATAATATTATGTTGGAATATACAGGGATATCTTATAATTTTTTCCGAGTTTTTATCTTTAAGGTTTGCCTTTTATCAACTTGCCTCTAGATTAACATAATGCATTTCTTGCCTAAGAATTTAAATCATATTACTGCCGGGTCAAACTTAGTATTTGTGACTTAATTATCAATTATTGTGTATATACAAGCTAGAATACAAGTGAACATTAATACAAAATTAAATATAAAATTTCACCTTAACTAACACTAGACAATAGTAACAAAATAGATTTAAATGTACATAATAAATACATATAAATAATAACAATAAATGTAAATAATTATCCATTTAAATCATAGTTAATAAATAATAAAATAATATACTGTAGGAATTTTGTTGTCAAAATTAAGGTAAGCTTAGAGGTACATAAAAACTTTCGAAAATGTATTGTGTTTAATTTTAAAAGATACCTATAACAAAATAATTACAACCCTTTTTTAGTATGTAGATTTCTGAAAGAAAAATGCGTAAATGGAAATTACTTAATGAATAAATGAATATACGCTGAATATTTAATAATATGAATAATAAATGAGAAAATAATGAATAGAACACTTGTTTTTAATTAGTCAAATTAGTTTAAAAAAATGAGTGCATTGTTTATTCTATGTTCTCATCTGACAAATATATATCGATTGTCATATCTATAATATTATATTGTTCAGTTATTTTACATGTAGTATAATTGAGTAATCGACTAAAATTTAAATTACAGTAATATGTATATATTATACGTCATATTATAGGTATACCTATAGACTATAGTAATAATATCCTATATATTTAAACAGTTGTAATAAAACTTGTATAGTTTTAAAAGGATTAAATCATACGACTTTTCAGTTTAATAATTAACATTTTAATAAAATATAATGTAAATTTATTTTATAATTTAACTAGCATTTGCTTAACAAGATAATTATTCTTATTAATAGCTCACAATGGCAAAATGCTGAAGGGGTTTTAACAAAAAAAAAAAACAAAAATTATACTTGTAAATTCTAATAATATGTACGTTTTATTTAAACTTTTTACCCATATAATTATTGTTTAAATTAATAATTTATTTAATTTAATATTATATATAATTTTAATAGTGTATCATAAATATTGAATACTGCTAATTCGATAAAACACTTTTAAGTTTTAACCATAGTAATATTATTATGTAGAATTACGATATTTGTCAAATTAAGTCACATCGTTTTTGATATAACTCCATTGTATCCATATATTGTATCAAAGTATATAAATGTTCTAGATATTGTTAGATAGGTAGTACATATATTATTTAATTATTCACCTTTTCATATTTTAGTATTAATTATTTTTCTTTAAAGTAGGTACCTATATGGCTATATCTTATTTTGGATTTGAAAATTTAATTTATTATACATATACTAAGAAATTAAGAATGATGTTTTGAACGAAGAGTTTATAATAATTCAAATTACTACTGTAATAATTTCATTACCTAGTTAAATTCATTAATTAATCGTCATCATCATTCATCAAAGTATACATATTATATTATATATGGTATACCCTGATAATTATCGTCAATTATTTACAATACAATATGCGTTCTATGTAATACAAATTAGTTTTATTCCTGATGATTTGAAGGGAAAAGTTAATGGTAGCTCGTACCTCTAATCCCAAAAGGTAGACTTTAAAAAAAAAAAAAAGATATGTATTGTATATATTTGTTGAACAACACAGCATATTATGGCAAAATAAAGTTAAAAATTATATTACAATTTACAATAATAGACTAAATAGGTGTATATTGTATTACAGTAATACACACTTTATAATTAGGTAGGATGTCAAAAAATATTAAATTATAATTTATATTCAATAATACATCATAATAATATATAATAGGTAGATATTATATTAATCTACATAAATATTAGTATATATTTTATATCCTGGAATCGTAAATATATTATAGGTGCGATTATTTTATACAAACTATGTTATTATTTTAATTTTACTATATAGATAGCCAGATAGGTACTATTTCTTAATTCTTAGCAATTTGAGTTATCTATAATCCTGTGCCTGTTAGAATACAAATGCCTGTTCTAGCAATAATAATACATGGGTAGGACTATAATTATATAAATATGGACGATATCGTTTGATGTACCTATCTATAATCTATATATTGTATATTATATGGATTTAAGAGCAAATCGCATGTGCTGGCTATGATAAATGCTTATAATAAAGGTTCAAAAGTTTTTTTTTATCATACAAAGTTAAAGCGGTACCTACCTATATAATATAAGTAAATAGGTACCTACTTAGGGTATAGATATTATGTTTAATACATGTGTGGAGGGTTGTAATAATAATATTATGTTCCTTATTGGCTTACAGGGGTGTAAATATTGTAATATTAGGTTTATTATTATTATAAAATCTGACGAGAACATCGCGGGCACTGACCTGGTGGCGAGGCCGACAGTGCCAATTCGCAGAGCAATCCGACCGTGACGAACGCTTTGCACCACATCGGCGGCGCTCGGCGTCCACGTGGCTTGCTACTATTCATCGTCTGTCATCACAGTCCGCGGGGAACAAAAAAAAAATTGTTTTTTGATAACCGTGAATGTCTGTCGCAGGCGGGGTAAACAACGTGCTCGCGGCGTGAACTCGCGCGATAAAGTGACGATCGTCGTCGTCGTCAGCGGCGGCGGCGGCGGGCGATCGGCCACGGGACGGCGTACTACGATATTGTCGTCCTCAGTGTCCCCCCAGCGGCACGCGACTAACGGGCCCGCCGCGCGGCCGTGGCGGTCCGGAGGCGATGCCCCTTCCGACTCACCCCCGCCCCCACTGCCACGGTAGAAACCGCCGCGGGCCGTGCGTGTCGCCCCACCGGCGGCTAAACCAATTACAGGCGACAAACGCGGTGCGCAAACGTCGGGTGGGCGTGGCTTACGTCTTGTGGCCGCGACGGATGCCGGTGGACAACGAGCCGCGTGTTTGTGTGTGTGGCGTGTGTTGGTGTGGGTGTATGTTTGTGTGGGTGTGTGTACGTGTGCGACGTATGCGAGTGTGTGAGTGTGTGTGTGTGTGTGTGTGTGTGTGTGTGTACGATTTCGCGGCGAAAAGACAAATTGACACTGTGCACGGTGGTCGACGGGTGAAAAAAAAGATGCAAAAATCGAGATAAACAAACATGAAAAAAAAGAAGAATTTAAACGCCACTGGTTTCAAGCCCCCGTGCCATATCGCATAGTCTTCGCCGACATTTCGTAACCGGATCTCGTTTTTGAACGCTTATTAATGTGTTTATTTATTATTATTATTATAAGTTATAATAATAATAGTAATTTTTTCATTCTTTACCACGCCACGACCCTTGACGAAAAAAAATATGCTGTCAACCTCAGTGAGCTTGTTTGGTGTAAAAGAAAAAAAGAAAGAAAGACAACTTAATCAGAGTTTAATCAAGATGCATTCATTTTAAATGTCGTTATAAAATTAAAATCACGTAACAAATAATATTATACGTGTGTTAATGGTATATTATGGTATACCCATAATATTGCTATGTAATATTATATTTAAGTATAGGTACCAAGGTAGGTACCTAATATGTTTTCTTAGACATATTAAATTGTCAATGAATCAGAGCAAATTAACAAATTGAACTATAATTGTATTTAGTATTTACACGCGTAGGTAGGTAGCAGGTAGGTACTATATGAAATTAAGAATATGCATTTTTAATCATTTAAATATGTTTATTTATAAAACAAAAATTATATGATAATCATATAGGTACTAGATACTAGATAGTATACCATAATAATATTAATCATAATAATAATTTATTAATATAACGAAAATTAAAAAAGGTGGGCAAGTGGGTGTCGCTCTGCTGTACAGTAGGTTACAAGTGGGTCACTGTATAATGGATGGTATTAAATTTGAATTCAATGATATAATATCATTGTATAAGAAAAACGATTCTGAGCGGTGATGGTATGTCAGTCTATGTATAAGGCATATTATATACATATCTATGGTATTAAACAAAAAATTGACCTATAATAGGTACCTATAATAAATTCCAAATTAATCATATCACAATATCCATTAGATACTTATAACGCGTTATACATCAACAAAAACCGTGATACTATCATAGATATATAATAGTACACTTTAGAAGTTTCAAGTACCCACGAATAGTATTATTCAATCACAACAAAATAACTAAAATCGTAATTCTTGGTTTAAATATGAAATTTTGTCTAAATTTGAAATTAAAATGTCTGTAAAAAATAAGTGTGTTTATATATTTTTTAGATTTTTTGGTTACAGTATGAATTATTTAAGAGAATCTTTGTTTTAAATTTTCAACTCTTAGTTATAAAAACTGAACATTTTATAATTTTTTAATTCCAACGATTGATAATTTTCGAGATTTTGATAAATTTTGTCAAAATTCCAACTTTAAATGCTTATAAAAAAAAATCGTGCCTATGTATTTTTAATATTTTTCAACTGATATTGTAACAATATATCAGGAGCCTTGTATTAAATTTTTACACTTTTTGGCCCAACAGATAAAACTTTATTGATATTTATAGAAAAAAAAACTAAAAAAAATTGAAAGCTGTAAATGTCCATAAACAGCTCAAAAAGAGTCAAAATATTTTCAAAATTGTATGGTGTATAGGAAATGCTAATATAAACATTCAGTGAAATTTTCATGTATCTACAGTTATTCGTTTTTGAATTACAACAAAATAAGGAAATCGCTACATGAGAAATCGAGTGAAAATCCAATGTTGTAAAAATTTGAATTTCAAACGCTCATAAAAATTTAATTTGACTGTCCGGTAGAGATTTTTTTATTGATAAAGGTAGATAATCTTATAAGGAATCTTGTGTTTCATTTTCAAATCTTAGATTTAAAAAGAAAAATTTTTACGAATTCTTAACTCAAAATAATTTGCTAATTTTCGTGATTTTTCCATATTTTGTCAATTTTTGAACTTTAAATGCTTATAAAAAAAAATTGTGACTAAGGATTTTTAATATTTTTCATCTGCCTTTGAAACAACATATTAGGAGCCTTCTATTAAATTTTCAAGCTTTCGCAACCAATAAATAAAATTTTATTGATATTTTTAGAAAAAAAACTAAAAAAAAATGGAAAATGAAAATGTCCCTAAACAGTTCAAAATAAATCAAAATATTTTGAAAATGTTATCGTGTACCTATAGAAAATGCAAATATAAACAACCAGTGAAAATTTCATGTATATACGTTCATTTGTTTTAGAGTTACACCAATAACCAAAATCGATTTTTTGGAAAACCAATTTTGCGTAAAAATTCCCGTTTTTCCTTAATTTTTATGTTGTTTTTCCCGGCGCTTGTGAAAACTACTGGGAAATTTATACTTTTGACCCCCCAAAGTACCAACTAGATTCACTTTCCTATCAGAAAAGCTACTGATGAAGAAAATCCAAGCACTTTTACTGTCCTAAAACGTGATGACAGACACAAAAATATAAATAAAAATATAAAAATATAAAAATATAAAAATATAAAAACATACATCATTGTAAAACCAATACATTCATCGCTCCGCTCAGAATCTAAAATGTTACCCATTAGTAATTAATTTTACTATGATATTTAAATAATGGACTATGAAGAAAGTTATATACCTAATATGGCGTCTATATAATACGAGAATTCAGAAAACAAATAATATTAACTAATAGGTATAATACTTTATACTACAGTTTGAAATTTGTAACATAGAATTAACAAAAATATATTATTAGATAGATAACTATAATATAGGTTTAGGTATATTTTATATTAATATAATAATCTTAAAATCTCAACATGTATATAATTTATAATGATCTAGACTTTCTATATTATATAGGCCAGCCTTATTTTAAAATATTTTATCTAAATTATATTATATTATATATATTGAGTATGACAGGGACGATAATAATAGTAAGACTTCTCATACATAATTTGATATAGGTTATTTTTGGAATTATACTTACCTTGAGCATACCAAAATTCATTGTTTACATGATTATAAGGTATAGCTGGTACTTTTTTTTTATTTGTTAGATGTATACCCAATCTGTACCAACAGGCACAATGAGACTCTTGGCCTCTTCATGCATTGTTTTCAGGTGTAGGTCTTTATTGTAGGTTGTGATTATATGTATTAAATGGTTGGGGAATCGGTAATTGTCCTCAGTGTAATATTTTGGAACCTCTGTATTTTATATAGATTGGAAATTTTTACATTGCCACCCATAACTGTAGGCAGTATGTCCAAATTGGCTTTAGGAGAGATTTATAGAGGAGTAATTTAATGTTTAAATTTAAGTGTTTGTTGTTGACGATCAGGTAGCTAAACTAATTTTTATTTCATACATTTTCAAAATATTAAACATAAATATATAATATATAAATTATATATGGAACCTACTGCTCGGTATAGTAAATCTATTAATCTATACCAATATAATATGTTGATGCGTCGTAAATATAGGTATATATAGGCATATAGCATAATATAGGAATAACATAATATAATATTATGTGTACTTATACTTATATAAATAATATCTAGTTATTATTTTACAAACTTTTTATTTCCAAGCACTATTAAATTAAGCAGTACACACTAAAAATCGCCAGGCCAAGTAAATATCTTTTTTAACTTTGTTATTATTTTTAACCTGTTAAATGAACTCTCCAAATAAATAACTATATCCGCAAAAAAAAAGTTCAATTTTAATTTGATATTAGTTTTAATCATTTTTTAATTGCACGGCCAGGGTTACTTAACATTTATCGATACCCGAGTAATGAGTTAAACATAAAACGCATCATGCATACATGCGTATTACCTACCTATATACAGTGTTAAAATGATATATACCTGATAGGTAAAAGAAATATTAAACGCATGGAACTTCCTTGGATATTATCATGTCATGTTTTTGGAAACACTATAAACTGTAAGCTGTTATTATTATTTTTCTTTTTGGGTTATTAGATTTTATAATACAAACACGAAATAAGTGAACACTGAACGCACATATAATAGGTAAATAAGAGTCAATGAATATTATCCGGTCAATGTACCTGCCTAATTTGTCAAAAGCAATGGAAGCATTATGCAAATAATAAATATAATGCAATGAATCTAAACTAGAAAAATATATACTACGAATAGTAAAAATGACTATTTAAAAATGTATCCATAATAATCATTTATTTTTCACATAAATCTAAAAAAATGTTAAACACGTATATTTTTAAAGAAATAAAAACAATAAACTATAAGTCAAAGTCAAACAAAAATGTCCAAAAATGTACTTTATACAATTTATAATGGGTTCGCCATAAAACTGCTAGACAGTTGACAATCGTAAAAATGATATTCAAGAGGCAAACAAGGGGAATAAATCTACTACCCCGCGGCCCATTTAACCATTTGATATAAATGCAGATATAAAGTTAAGGTTATAGCATAAAATATAAAAAATAA